TTAAAAATAACAGTAATAAAGAATGGGATCAGCAGGTGGAGTGGTGGTTAAGGTGCTAGACTCCCACATAGTTGAACACAGTTCGAGTCCTGGACCCAGTGGTTTGAAAATCACACCGAGCTATGTGTGAGCCTGCCCAAGATCCAAAGAGAAAAATGGAGGAGAAGGGATTGCAGTGTGGCCATTCCCCCTGGGGGATGACTTCTCACTTTCCCTCTCACTGTGAGTCTCTGTCTTTCTCCAGTGAGCACATACACCTTTGTGGCAAAAACAAACAAACCAAAAAAAAAAAAACCTTAAATAAGTAAATAAATAAAGTGAATGGCTTAAAAATAAGCAAATAAATGATGATGGTTTCAACATGGAGCCAACTGATTTGAGTATTAGAAGGAGCATTACAACGTAACATAGTCTATGGGTAACATGCTAAAAAAATTTTGCAGTAACTACATTGCTAGAGAATAGCGGTATTCAGGGACCAGCAGTAAGGGTAATGGCTATGTCGCTAAACTCCCATGTAGTCGACCGCGATTCAAGTCCTAGACCCGGTGGCTTAAACTCACGCCGGGCGCATGTGCGTCCATGCCCAAGATCCTGAGAGGAGAATGGAGGAGAAGGGATTGCTACGTGGCCATCCCCCTGGGGGGTGATTTCTTGCTTTCTTGTCTTTCTGTCTCTCTCTGTCTCTCTGTGAGCATACGCGCCCTGTAGCAAAACCGCTCAAAAAAAAAAAAGCGGTATTCAATCATCACTAGTACTGAAATTTACTCATTCATTTTATATTTGTGAGACATACTTAATATATTTGATTAACACTGAGTTTACTTCTATTTGAAAGAATAAAAACATCAGTGCCATACTTCAGGAGTCAATGTCCTAGGATTTTTTGTTTGCTTTTTAAGTATTTAGTGACAAGTTTGGGAAAAAGTACATAGCATGTAGAGTACTGGGTTTGAAATATCTGAAAATTAAGACCTATTATGGGGGGGCTAGCAGATAGCATAGCAGTTATATTGTTGGACTCCCACATGGTCAACCAGGGTTCAAGTCCCAAACCCAGTGATTTAAAACTCACGCCAGGTGTGTGTGCATGTGTGCCCAAGATCCCAGGAGAAGGATAAAGGAGAAGGGATTGCAGTGAGACCATCCTCCCTGGGGGGTGATTTCTTACTTTCCCTCTCACCCCTCTCACTGTCTCTGTTTCTGATGAGGGCACGCATCCTAAGGCAAAAAAACTCTAAAAAAGGAAAGCACTATTATGGGACAGTTTTTCTAAGTTCTCTCTCTTTTTTGGAGCGGGGGAGATTTTTGCTACAGGGCATGTGTGCTCGCCAGGAAGACAGAGAGAGATGGAGAGACAGAAAGCGAGAAATCACCCCCCAGGGGGGATGGCCGCACCGCAATCCCTTCTTCTCCATTCTCCTCTGGGGATCTTGGACACGCATGCACATGTGACCAGCGTGAGTTCAAGCCACCAGATCCGGGACTCGAACCACAGTTGACTACGTGGGAGTCCAGCAACATAGCCATTAGGCTAACTGCTGGTCCCTTAAATTCTTTTTTCAACTAAAAAGATCCTTGGCTCTTTGCAATGTCACAGAAAATAAGGAGCTACATATGTATCATTATCCTTGAGAAAGCTCAGATTCAATCTTGCTTTAGTATTGAACCAACCAGATTATTTAAATGATAAATAAAATAAAATCTCCTTTTTTTAGAGAGAGAGAGGTTTTTGCTATAGGGCACATGCACTCACCAGAGAGACAAAGAGACAAAAAGCAAGAAATCACCCCCCCAGGGGGAATGGCCATGCCACAATTAATTCCTTCTCCTCCATTCTCCTCTCAGGAGTTTGGGCATGTACAAACACATGCCCAATGAGAGTTTTAAACCACCAGGCCCAGGACTTGAACCATGGTCAACTATGTGAGAGTTCAGTGATGTAACCATTACACCATCAGCTGGTCCCAAAATATTAAAGATCTTTTATTTCAGGGGTAAAATTTAAATTTGAAAAATTAAAATGGGAGAATAATATTACTAGAATGAATTAAGTATCATGGTTAACATTAAAAATTTATCATTTGCAGGAACCAGCAGTTAGCATAATGGCTATGTCGCTGGACTCCCACGTAGTCAACCATGGTTCGCATCCTGGACTCGGTGGCTTAAAACTCATGCGTGCCCAAGATCCCAAGTGGAGAATGGAGGAGAAGGGATTGCGGCATGACCATCCCCCCGGGGAGTGATTTCTCGCTTTCTGTCTCTCTGTCTCTCTCTGTCTGTCTGACGAGCGCACACGCCCTATAGCGAAAACCTCTCCCAAAAAAAAAAAAATGTATAATTTGCAGGGAAGTAAAATAATGTGTATTTCTTAGTTAAAAGATAATTAAGTACAAGTTTCTTTGTGTACACTCACACACATTTTCCTATAGCTTTGGAAAGATTTTAACTATTAGCTAACAGAGGTAGCAAGGTAATTAATGTGTCCATTTGTATTTTAAATATATATATATGTATGCATGTACATGTATATATCTAATAAGTCTCTAAATATTATTCCAAATTTGAGCCAGACAGTAGAGCAATGGTAAAGCACTCTGTGATGCTGAACACACATGGGGCAGTCCTGCGTTTCAACCCTGGGGCCTCCCTGTACACCACTGGGCACATGCACTTGCCTATGATCTAGGCTGGCAGGGTGGATAGCAGTGTGAAGACCCTGTACAGCTGCCTGTCTCTTTATCTCTCTATCTCTCTCTTATGGAAGAAATAAGTCCAAATTTAACTTGTCAGATCACTAATTCATTAGATAGAACATGTTGAGTACCTGTGCACTAAGCACTTAGATCATTGTGAGACAATAAAAATGCACTGTACTGGGAAAGGATGTTTTGACATCTCAAATATAATATGCATTATTTGGCTAGCAGCTAATTACACTTAACATATTCAACGTACAGAGCAAAATTCTGAGAAATCAAAACAATTAGGGACCAGCAGTTAGCGTAATGGCTATGTCGCTGAACTCCCATGTAGTCGACAGTTCGAGTCCTGGACTCGGTGGCTTAAACTCGCGCCAGGCGTGTGTGCATGCGTGCCCAAGATCCCGAGAGGAGAATGGAGGAGAAGGGATTGCGGTGTGGCCATCCCCCTTGGCAGATGATTTCTCGCTTTCTGTCTTTCTGACAAGCACACGCGCCCTGTGGCAAAAACCTCTCCAAAATAAATAAATAAATAATAAAAACAATTACATCCATGAGCAATGGAGTTTTTTAATTCTTCTCAACTGTTCCCTTAAGATACTTTCTACTCCGATTCTTTCCCAGTTCTAAAATAAGAGAACAAAACAGTTTCCTAAATAAGACAGCGCAAGAGAATAGAAATGTAAGAGAAGGGATCCATTAGTTCTTGAATGCATGTTTCCATTTGCTCTCAACAGTGCTTCTAATGTTCAATTTTCTCTTCCAAGGAAATCTTAATTTAAAAGAACAAAAAATTCAATCATCTTTAACCTCTAAAGAAGTATACTGTTATCTCTTACTAAAGTTAGCCAAAGATCGAAACAGAAAAAAATATTAAAACACATCTTCATTCTAAGTTACATAATACCATAGTAATGATCTTATACTTTGGTATATGACTTTTTAAAATAAATATTACCAACAGGTAGAAATTTTTACTGTGCTATTTTAAGATAATCCTAGGAGCATTTTAACCAGTGCATTTCCTCAGATATAACTCAGAAATGTCATTTCAATCACCTAAATGATATATCTTCTACACGGGTGATTCAATTGGAGAGAAAATGCCACACTGCTTCTTCCCAAGAAAAGAAGATGCATTCCATTTTGGGGGTCTCTGTCATACATACACACACACACACACACACACACACACACACACACACACACACACACACACACACACACACACACACACACACACATCCATATGTATACATAGACACATATATGCACATATGTAGATATATGTATATATCCAACAAATGTTTGATTTTGAGATTTCTGATTCAGAATTCTCAACGTGACTCTCAAACTGCATTGCCTTTTCACGTTTCGTTCATTCGTGAAGCATGAATTGAGTACTTTTTGCATGCTTAGCTTTATGTCAGATGGAAGGAAGATATGAAAGAAACATGACGGCCTCTGCCCTTCAGAATCTAGTGATCTCTTCCAAGGAAAGATAAAACACAATGTATTACTGAGTAATCTGGGAGACCAGCACCAACACCCCTGGTGCAGGTAGCATGCATTTCACACTTATTTCCCATTTTGGAGCTTTGGAATACTTTTGTGTATTTAATCCTAATAATGATCTTGTAAAGAACATGTTGGCCCCACTATAGCGATGAGGAAACTGGACTCAGAATTTTAAGCAATATGCCTCAATCAAACAGATTAAGAGTGGAAGAGTCAGGGCTGAAGCCAGAGTGTTCTGCTTCTAAGCCGAGAGCTCTGTTCAATCCAGCGCAGGAAACCCAGGATTCGGGTCCTCGACAGGACAACAGCCAGCATTCTGCAAACTGGGAGGCTCTGAACTAGACCGGCATCTGAGCAGTGTCGAGCCAAATGTCGACAGCAATTTTATGAGGCAAACATTTGCACTCCAGTGTAATACACAGAGACAGCACCATCCCCTTGGTCTCAGCGCCTTTCCCTGCTCAGGAACAGCTCTGCACTCCGAAATGGGCATGTCGAGTTTAATAAAAAGCTGGCCTAGCGGAATCACATACATCTTAAGTCACAAATGTAAATCTTAGCGATCTGGTTTCTATTCATTCTCACACATGCCGGGTCCCCTCAGCACCGGAAAGCCTAACTCGCCCCCACCCTTTTCTACCGTTCTTATTCCAATCACTTATTTTAAGATGTCAACGACTGACCCTACCCCAAATTGTACAAGTTCACCCCAGTTGGACCACCCGATCCCAAACCCTGCCCAGACATCTTCCCCTCCCTCAGGATGGATAACGTTACCGAGTTTGGGCTCTGCGGGTCCAGTCGTGATGCTGTCACTCAGCACTGACAGGTAAATGTGACCTTTCGATTCTGTCCTTGGGGACCTCCCGCTGGACGTGTCGCGCAGTTCCAAGCCCAGGAAACGGGCCCTGGCTCGAGAACGCAGCCCCGGTCAGCACGCGGTCCCAGGCGAGGTCTCCGGCAACTGGAACGACTCTGGGCGTCCGCGCGCATCACTCCTCACAGTCCTGCCGAATGCAGGGGACGCGGTCAGGCAGCCAGTCCATCCCGCCACACCGGCACGTCCCGCTCGCGGACCTTACGCCGGACTCTGGTGACAGGTCGTTGGCGGCGATGGGAGAGGCAGCAAAAGCCAAGGCCGCCCGCCCCCAGAGCCCATCGCCGCCAACCTAAGACCCCCTAGACCGGACCGCAGAAAAGCGTTTCTATGGGAACCCTAGGGATCACGTGCTGCACGCCGACGACCAATCGCCTCCTACCTCTGCCCGCGGTCCCTCACTGTGCCCGCCCCCTCGCCCCCTCCTCCTTCGCCCAGCCCCGCCCCTTTCCTGCGGAGAGTCCGCGCCTGCGCACTGAGTGTTGCGCGCTCCCGGCTTCGGGCGCGCAAAGCCCCAGAGCGGAAGAGGGAAGTAAGTAGGGCGTGGGGCCGCGGGCTGCTGCCGGGCTGGGCTTGCCGAGGTAGACGTAGCACGACGAGAAGGCGTTTGCCACGGTCCGGAGCGAGATGTCGAAGAACACGGTGTCGTCGGCCCGGTTCCGGAAGGTGGACGTGGATGAGTACGACGAGAACAAGTTCGTGGACGAGGAGGACGGGGGAGACGGCCAGGCCGGGCCCGACGAGGGCGAGGTGGACTCCTGCCTGCGGCAATATCCTTGAGTTCGCTGCCGGGGTCTGCGGGCCGGCCCTCGGCGGCCCGGCGCTCACCTGCCGTGCCCGGGGTTCCGCCCTCAGCGGGCTGGGGGCTCTCGGGTTTCTGGCCGAGGCCCTCGGAGACCCCAGGGTCCCTCCCCGGGAACCTTGTCCCCCAGCCGCGCCCTCCGCGCCGCGGATTCCTCAGGTGGCGCCGCGGGCTGAGCCGGGGACCGGCCGCGCCCTCGCCCGCCAGGGTCGGGTTGGTCTTGGGACCGTGCAGGCGCCGAAGTTTCACTCCCCAGAACTCGATTTACTGGCTCCAAAAATTTCTGATTGGGGGGACGGGTGTGTTTCTTGTGATTGTTTCTGTTGTTTTTGATACGTTAGGACAGTTTATTCCTTGCTAGGAGAGAAAGGGGCAGGTCGCAAATTGAGGCCCTCTGTGCTTTCAGCCATGGCCTTTTTGCTTTTATTTTACGAGAAATAGATTTGGCAAAATATAGGTTGCACAAAATGTCTTTATCCCGGGGAAAGGAATGAATACAGACACAGCCAAAATTCCAAAGAAGGAAGCTTGGAGCCTTTGATCTGCTTAGAACGGGACAATAGGTAAAAAACAGGCAGTGCATGTGGAGAATCCTTGGAAATATTTCAGATAAACCCCAGTGAATAAAATAGAAGTTGAGTCATTTGTATAAAGCGGAATCATTTTGTCATCCTGAAGATTGTTAACCATTTTGGTTAAAATATGGCTGTCAGTTCCTGGTTTCTGATTTTTGCATATTTGAATATTTATAACTTTAATATTAGCATCAGTTTGGGTTTTTTTTTTTTTTTAAGAAAATGTAAATGTTGCTAAGAATAAAGCTGTGGTTTTAGAAAATCTCCATTATTGGATCCTTGGGTATTTCTGATTATTCTAGGGTGTATCCATAAGGAAGGCAGTGAGGTTCTTTGCTCATCAGTGCTCCATTAAATTATAGTAGGAAAATATTATCTGGTAGCAACTATATCTTGCTTAACAGCACCTAAATACAGCATTAAATATTTATCAATAGATAGATACTCCTTTAGTTTCCACAACAGTCAGCTGTTATACAGCCTTGTATTATTTAAATGCTCTTTAAATGTTTTTTGTCTCAAAAATGAGCCAGTCTACAAATGACTTGCTTTTCTAGAAGTCCATGCAATTTTGAAACAGCTTGTTACTATAGAGGTTTTTTTTTTTTTGGTCAGACCTTATTTTTTTCAGAAATGGTGACCATTATTCTTTCTAAAAAGCATGATTTATGATGTGTAAGTGATACTTTGTGAAACATTTCAGATCATTTGAGATGTCTCTTAAATGATGCTGCTGTGTTCCTATCTGTGGATCTGTTTTTTAATGAGTTCATCTGGAAGTCTAAAGATGCTGTCTCTTACTCTTGTTAAAACCTGAAGAGTTAGCCCGGATGGGGTCCTAGAGATGGAGGAACAAGTGAACTCTGTGGTTTTCCTTTTAGGGGAATGACTGTTCATTCTGACAGTCTGATTGGCCTTCGGTTTCTGATTCTTGCTAACTCACTGGTGGTTTCAAAGAGAGACTGAACAGGTATGGTCTAACACAGTTTGAATAACCTTTATGAATTACAGAAGAAAATATCGAAAACAAAAATGAAGCTGCCACCTAAGGGTCATTTTCTGTAATGACTATTTCCATCCATACAGATTGAATGTCCCTTACCTGAAATGCTGGAACTAGAAATGTTCAGAATTCCAGATTTTTTTCAGATTTTGGAATATCTACATACGCATAATGAGCTAACCTAGGGATCAGACCTGAGTCTAAACACCAAAAAATCACTTGTCCTTCAATGCCACTTATACAAATAACCTGAAGGTAACTTGGTAATTTTATACAGTATTTCTTTTTGACTGTGACCAGTCACACGAGGTGAAGTGTAGAATTTTCCACTGTGGCATCATGTTGGCATTCTGAAGATTTCAGTTTTGGAGTGTGGTTTGTTTGTTTGTTTTCAGCATCTCTGATTTCCAATTTTTTTTTTGAGAGGTTTTCGCTATAGGGCGCGTGCACTTGCCAGAAAGACAAAGAGAGACAGAGAGACAGAAAGCAAGAAATCACCCCCCAAGGGGGATGGCCACACCGCAATCCCATCTCCATTCTCGTGCGCTTAAGCCACCAGGTCCAGGACTCGAACCATGGTCAACTAGATGGGAGTCCAGCAACATAGCCATTACGCCAACTACTGGTCCCTGATTTCCAATTTTTAAGTTAAGTTAGGAATCTTCAACCTGGTTTAAGAAGTTGCTGGTGTGGGACCAGCAGTTAGCGTAATGGCTATGTCGCTGGATTCCCACGTAGTCGACCGTGGTTCATGTCCTGGACCCGGTGGCTTAAAACACGCCGGGCACATGTGCGTGCGGGCCCAAGATCCCGAGAGGAGAATGGAGGAGAAGGGAGTGCGGCGTGACCATCACCCCAGGGGGGTGATTTCTCGCTTTCTGTCTCTCTGTCTCTCTTTGTCTTTCTGGCAAGTGCACGCGCCCTATAGCGAAAAACCTCTCAAAAAAAGAAGTTGCTGGTGTATATCATTTCGATTGCTAGAGTAATTTATCAACTTTTTTCTTTTTACCAGCATTTCAGTTAATATAGATTATAGTTCTAGCAAAACTTGATCTTAATTTTTCCAGTTAGAATCACATAAAAAGATATTTGGTTGATGATAGACTGTTCCAACTGGGAGCCTAATAATTATGACATATATTTTAGGGATTTAATACCATGTTTGATAAAATCAAGAATGAAATGGTCTTTGTTTTATTTCTTTAAAAAAATTCTAATGTTCCTTTGCTTTTAGTATTTCACCTTTGATTGGCATCTTAGAAATCGACACACTAAGTTCCCAATATTGAACATGGTCACCACAGTAACTGGTTTTTTTATGCACAAAGTCAAGTGTTAAGAACCAGCAGTTCCTGGTGGTTGTAATGCTGTCCCAGGGGCTGCTCTTGGCGTTAATCCCTTAACCTCTACCACAGGAAACATGACAGCTGCCCTACAGGCTGCTCTGAAAAACCCCCCTATCAACACCAAGAGTCAGGCAGTGAAGGTAAGTCAAGACTGTAATGCAGTGTTCTGATACGTCTTCTGATAGGTCTTCTGATACGTTATGATGCTTACTAAAATCCTCTAAAAGTTTCATAAAAATCAACATTTTAACTACTTCCTCTTTTGGCCATAGAGGCATTACCACGTACTTTGATAGGTAAAAATTTCATAGTCGGGGCTAGCAGGTGGCGTGGTGGTTAAGGCGCTGGACCCTCTCACGTGACCAACGGTTTGAGTACTGGCCCTGGAGGCTTGCTTCTTCACTCTCCCTCTCTTGCTCGCTCTGTCTCTCTCTCTCTGGTCAAATTAAAATAAATGAATGAATAAATAAAAGTTAAATTTTAAAGAAGAAAGAAAAAAATTTCTTAGGCATAAGTGTAGAGTTAAGATAATGCTGCAAGATAACCACAGTAAATTCAAATGCTAGAGAAATCATTTCTGGGGGGAGGAGGGGTTTAAAGGAGATCACTTGGACCAAATATGAGCAAAGGCTTCAAGAATAACATTTTTACAACTATAAGCAGATTCTACTTGGCTTTTGAAAGATTTTGTTTTGCATTATACAAATATTAAAATATTCTAGGAAGCTCAGCTATATGAGGGAATAGAAAGGTACTCATCCATGACCTCAACATCCGGAGAGAACAGTTACTCCTTTCTGGTGTTGCTGACTGCTGGCAGAGTTTAACGTCCACAGTTTATATATAACTAAGCTCCTTTTGTCATGTATTTAGATTGACTTTTTCCTGATATAAACAGGACTGAAATGAACAGTTTTTGGTAAATGCTTTATTATTTCCTTTGAATAAATTCTGAAAAGTGAACCACTAGATCAAAGAGTGCACATTTTTAAAGGCCTTTGAGACATGTGTTATTGCCAAATTGCCCTTTATAAAAGTTTGTAGTTGTGGTCCCTAGCGGTCCTTTTACTGATTCTTAAGAACCTCTTAGTATTTATTATTTACAATGGAGCCCAGAGCAACCCCTCTGTCAGTTGCTGTTCATACATCCTAGGAGCCTCAGGGATCTCCTTGGGTACATGCATAATAATTATCTTGGCAACATAATTTTTTATAAGAGAAATTTATTTGGTTTTTAAAAGTGGTAAGGAATGTCATTGAAATTTCAGTTTTACCACCTTCTGCCTTTATGTGGGTGATTTATCACAGCTTGTGGGTGGGAGGTTATAACTTTGGATACAAAGATATTTTTCTAATTTCAGTAATTGCATAGTCTTTAAACTGAAGATAACAATAGGTGGTAGAGACATTCTATAAAATCCTGACCAGTAGGAATGCCTAAGGTATCACTTAGGGTTGAACAGAGAGAAACAAATTGTTAAAAGGGTCAAGTAAGTGTTCCCTCTACTTGACTGGATTAATAAGAAAATAACTGCTTAGAAAACAGCCTTTGCCAAAGAAGAAGGGTCATTATAAACAAACATTCTGTCTCATGGCTATAGTCACTTGACCATAGATTAAAAAACCTAAAGTAAGCGTTCTTAAAATTTCAAATTAATGGGGTTTTTTTTTTAGTTGTTTCAGGAAGATAATTCAAGGGAGAACTGCTCAGTCTCCTTGTTCTGTTGGGTTTTTTAAAAGATCAGGAGCTAAAATCCGTTTTAATAAATTGTTAAATTTTCATATCCATCTGTTAGCAGATTGAGCAGCGCTATCACCAGTTATATCCAGCGTCTGTCCACTTTTCCCTGAGACTGTCACTGCTGCTGTGCCAGCCACAGCCAGCCTGTATTACTGCAGTTCCTTCCTGATTTCCTGCTTTTCCCGTGCCCCCAGCCTCCATCAGTTCCCAGCATAGATGCCAAAATGACACTGTCCAAATGTGAATCACATTATGTCACCACTTTCAAACCATTCCAATGTCTTACATCTTTCAGAGTAAAACCCAAAGTTCTTAACGATGGCCTGCAGGCCTTCCATGGTCAGTCCCCCCATGGGCTCTCTGACTTCCTCTCCTGATGTTGTCCCTCCACTCTGCTTCAGCTACATGGTGTCCTTTTGCTGTTCTTGAACACTGAACACACACTAACAGCACTCGTTCTTTGCTCTGTCTGAAACACTTTCTCGGACATCCCCAAGGTCTCCTTACTTACCTTCAGGTCTTTGCTCACATGTCGCCTTCTCAGCCTGACCTTTCTAAAATTGCAACCACCCCTCCCCTGGAACTCACATGTCTACATGTTGTGTTGCTTTACCCTAGGATCGAGCAGGCAGCATTGTCTTGAAGGTACTCATCTCTTTTAAAGCTAATGATATTGAAAAGGCTGTTCAGTCTTTGGACAAGAATGGTGTGGATCTCCTAATGAAGTATATTTATAAAGGCTTTGAGAGCCCCTCTGACAACAGCAGTGCTGTGTTATTGCAATGGCATGAAAAGGTAAGCTATCACTATTTAAGTCAATAGATCTGGTTCCTTTCTAATAGAGAATGATAATGATGATTCTGTCACATAGAGAACTGTTTTAAATTGATTATACATCTCTGGTAATACAAATAAAATGCATGAAAGTTCAGATTTAAGAGATCCTGATTTGCAACACATATTTATTCAGTAATTAGTATTTCTCTACAAAAGAAAATGAGCAATAAAAAAAAAACAAGAATTATTTTACAAAGTATAGGTGGAAATAACCGAGAGTCCATCAACAGATGAACAGGTAAAATGTACATATATACACTGAAACATTCAACCATCGAAGGGAGTGGGGTTCTGATATGTGCTGCAATACGGTGACCCTTGAAAACAGTATACTGGGTGTAATATGCCAGACACAAAAGAAACACAAAAGTGTTTTGTAATTTCACTTTTATGAAAAATCTACAATAGACAAATTCAGAGAAACTGGAGGAAGGGGGAAACAGGGCATTAATGTTTAGTATGTTTGAGGTGTAGAAAAGTTGGGGAAATATATAATGGTGATAACTAAGTGTAATTAGTGCCACTGAATTTTACACTTAACATGGTTAACATGGCAAATTTTATGTTATATTGTACCACAACTGTTTTAAAAAGAAAGTGGGACAGTGGGGAGAGAAAATAAGAATTCTTAAATTTTTTATGTTTTCATGCATTACATTTTTCAGTGTAAGCAGGTGCTGGTATGCCAGCCACCAGAAAAGACAGATAGAAGGAATTCTGAGCTTCATTTAAAAAGCTAGTAAGTGGGGCCCGCAGGTTGTGTGGTGGTTAAGGGCACTGGGCTCCCACATGATCAATTGCAGTTTGAGTCCTAGACCTGGCGGCTTGCTTTCTCTGTCCCTTTCTCTTTCTGGTCAAATTTAAATAAATAAAATAAAGTTAAATAAAATAATTCATTAAAATAATAAAAAGCTAGTATGGTTGGGGCCAGCAGAGAGTGCAGTGGTTACGTCACTGGACTCCCACATAGTCGACCGCAGTTTGGTGGCTTAAAATTAATGCCGGGTGCATGTGCATGCGTGTCCAACATCCCAAGAGGAGAAGGGAAGAGAAAGGATTGCAGTGTGACCATCCCCCATGGGGCTGGGGCATTTCTCACTTTGACACTCCTCTCTCTCTCTCTCTCTCTTTCTCTCTCTCTCTCTCTTTCTCTCTCTCTCTCTTTCTCTGGCGAGCACACATGCCCAATAGCAAAAAACTGTCAAAAGAAAAAGCTAATAAGGTTATCATTAATATCCAACTCTTATTGATACAAACAATAATATTTAAATAGAACCAACGCACAGGTAAGGTGTACATTCCCTGACATTATAACTAGTCTCAGTTTTTCAGAAACTGCCGAATGCTGTCTTAACATGTATTTGCATGGAAACACCCACACGTTAAAAACTTGTTTACGCTTGATCAAATCACTTTATCTCTCACATACTATCAAAAAAAGCTGGGACCAGCAGTTGGCATAATGGCTATGTCGTTGAACTCCCATGTAGTCAACCGTGGTTTGTCCCGGACCTGGTGGCTTAAACTCACGCCAGGTGGGCGCGTGTGCGTGCACGCCCAAGATCCCGAGAGAATAGAGGAGAAAGGATTGTGGCATGGCCATCCCCTGTTGGGGGTGATTTCTCGCTTTCTGTCTCTCTCCATCTCTCTGTCTTTCTGGCAAGTGCACGTGCCCTATAGCAAAAACCTCTCCAAAAAAAAACAGCTGGCATTATGGACACCTTAACCATTCCTTGCAGTTTTCCCAAGGCAGCCTCAGAGCCTCAGTTCGTGCCTGGTGTCACATCATGATTATGAATAGAACTTTAACTCTGAAGGATACTAATTTGGACATTAATTTATATGCTCCCCCTATTCATGTATTGCTTTCTATTTGCCAGGCCCTGTAGTATTTGTTTTATTTAATGCTCACAGTAACCACATGAGGTAGATGAACAACTTTATCATCTTCAATCTAGAAATGACGAGCCAGTGTTTAACATCAGGCAGCCTGGTTCCAATAAAGCTGCAGAATCATGGGGGCCTTGATCAAGCACCTCTTTATCCCGACAAAGCACCTCTTTATCCCAGACTCTCGGTCCAGGGACTTTATAAATACTAACCCATTTTAACCTCATAAAAACACTACAGAGGAGAGCTCTTAATCCTCCTTGGTAGATAGGGAAACTGAGGTGTTGAGTCTCCATTTCTTCCTAACAGCAGCCATTCGTTTTTGCCCATCTTTATCTCCTAAGTACTTCTCAAGTGTATCTCCAGTGCAGCTGTTCAGGGCGCTCTTCTAGGTTGTTACCGTAGCTTCCTAAACTCCCAGTTTTGCCTCCCTCAAATCTGTTCACCCAGCCACCAGAATGAGCCCTTTAAAATCCACATCCGCCTTTGTCCTTCCTCTGCAGAGTACAATCCAAGTGCTCAAGTCTGGCTTCATCCTCCTGTCATTCTTCCCCTTGGGCTATAGCAGTGCCAGCCTTTTCCCTGAATGCACCATAGCATTTCACATGTCCATCATTTGCTCATAACTTTCTGGTGTTAGTCTGTCCACTGCTCACCTATTTAATGAGTATTTTCCTCCAGGGAGCCTTACCCGAAACATTCCCCTGTGCTGGCAGGCTGGGTATATGTCCCCCTCCATGTTTTCATAGCACCTTAAGCATAACTGACATTTCATGCCATGTATTGAAGTTATTTGTTTATATTTCTGTCTCCTCACTAGACCAGAGAAGCTATATAGTACTTAATCGTGACTTTTCAAGTTAGAGTCAAAAGTTCTAAAGTCAAATTCCCAAATATTAAATAATATCTTCTTACCTTGGGGAAAAAAAATCTGATGTACTCTTACTAATCTAAGTGGAAGTTGGGGGAGTTGATCCCAGTTTGAATTTCTTCTTCACTGTGTAGTGAGAACAAGAGATGAAAGATAATCTGAATTTGTATTTGAGCACATTTTAGGCAAGAACAATGTGCTGCTGATTCTTAAAAAATAATATTGTTTAAAAACAGTATTCTAGAATGTTAGACTGTTCTCATAAATGTAAGCTCATGAAGTCAGGGAATGGCGAAGGTTCTGTTCATGACTAAATCCCGGGTGTCACTGGTGCATACTAGATGCTCATGAGGTACTTAATTAATGAGTGCAAAATCTGTAGCCAGAGCCAGGCCTGAAGCCTAGTGGTTAAGAGTCCGATCCCACATGGCCAACCACCATTTGAATCCCAGCCTATGAGCCATGTGTGCCCAAGATTGTAGCAGGATGGTGAAATGGAGAAGCATCCCTTGAGGGGATGCTTTCCCTCTGCCTGTGTGTTCTCACTCACTCTGGTGAGTGCATAGATCCTCCAGCAAATTAAAAAAAAAAAAAAAAAAAAAGAATGTGTGCAGCTACAGTTTTTATTATTTTCTTTCATTGCCAGAGTGCACATGTGTACCAAAGAAACTGAGATGGGGAGAATACACCCCCAGAGGGACATGGGTCCCTTAACCACCTGCCTAATAAAGCCCACGTGGGATCCGCCTCCATTAACCAGGCCACAGGGCTGGCCTCCCACTGTCCTCCTGTAAGAAATGCTTTACTTAATATGAGAATTGACCTGATGATTCTGTCAGCATTTACATTTTGGTTTGTTTTTTTAGGCACTTGCTGCTGGAGGAGTAGGGTCCATTGTTCGTGTCTTGACTGCAAGGAAAACCGTGTAGTCCAGCAGGAACTGGATGTGCCGGGGAGTGGGAGTCGCTGGTTCAAAGACCAAAACAACCAAATGCCACCGCTGCCCTGTGGGTAGCATCTGTGTCTCTCAGCTTTGCCTTCTTGCTTCCTTTTTCATACCTGTAAAGAAAATGACATAACAGTTTTCCTTTAACAAAAATTGGGATGATAAAGAGGAAATTATGTTTCAATAAGACAGTTTCATCCTCTCAAACCCATTTTAATGATACGCATACCAGACTGTATATAGTATAATTTACATTCGAGGTTAATTGTGCAATTTTAACCCCTATTGGCCGGGTTTGTGTTTTGTATTATTCTTAACTAATACTGAGAGATTTGATCATAATTTGAGGCCAGTTTCCAAACTCGTTGCTAGTCAGGAAGTAACTTTTTTTTAATTATGAGAGACTGGCAGCTACTAACGTTGCAAAACTGGACCATACTTCCCTTATTTAAGCAAAACCTGCTTTGGGACCGAGCGGTAAATGAACACGCTGTCAGGTTCCAGCCATGTCTCTGCCTGCCTCCATGTTACTTTGCTGCGCTCAGCGTCCGGAAATCATGGCCTCTCGATTCCTTTGTGGTTACCCAGGGTCCAGAGCAAGGAGTCTTGCTCTATACAAGTGAGTCTGTAAAATATCAGAGTCTGTTTGGTATGAACACGAAACTTTTGTTGTACTAACCTGACTCTGTTTGGGGAACTACTCCAATTCAGAAAGGATGTGGAAACCTATGTCATCAAGCTCTGGGCAGCTCCGAATGAAATACTACTTTCTTTTGAAATATAGCAGCTGCCTTAGACATTATGAGGTGTACAACTAATATTTAATATGCCCTATAAATGTCTTCAGTGTTCTTCAGGGTAATTGGGATCTCAGAAGATTTGGTTCAGAGCCAATCCAATAACACATTCTGTGTTTTATCTCAGTGTTTTCTAAAAAAAAAGAAGAAAATGCCACAAAGCAAAAAATTGTTTACTTTGTTGGACAGACCAAATCGGTTCTCAAAAAATGACCGGTGCTTATAAAAATTATTACTGTATAGTAGCTCCAAAAACAAACCACCTGATCACGTGACCAAGAGGGAGATCAGCCTGTGTTTATTATTTACATTGGGCACCAGTTTCATAATCACTGACTTATATGAAAACCGGTGCAGAAATTCTGTAAACTCTGCTGTTTTTGATACCTGCGTTTTGTTTTGTTTTGTAAGAATGAGAAACTTCAGAAAATAAAATGTCAGTGTTGGATACTTCCTTTTTCTGTTTAATATTAATTGATACATGGTTAATTAAAAAGAAAGATTTCGGGACCAGCAGGCTGGTATAGTGGTTACATTGCTGGACTCCCACATGGTTGACCATGGTTCGAATCCTGGACCATGGGGCTTTAAACTCATGCCAGGCACATGTGCATACATGCCAAAGATCCCAGGAGGAGAAGGGATTGTAGCATGGCTATCCCCCAAGGGGATGATTTCTCGCTTTCTGTCTCTCCGGTGAGTGCACACACCCTATAGCAAAAATATCTCCACAAAAAAAAAAAAAAAAAAAGAAAGATTTCCTGTTATTACTGCAGGTATTGTAGTCAGTAAGAACTAATTGGGTAGAGTTTATAAGAATATTTTATACAAAGTAGTGGGGGGGGTGTCATTAATGGTGTCAGAGCACTCCCAAAGCCTTTGGAGTGATGGCTACCAAACACCTGTGCCCGGAGACCTGTGAGGGGTAGACACACCACAGTTCCTTTTCCATTTATCCCTCTGGGATTTTGGATGTACACATACACACTCAGCATGTTTTTCACGCTGTCAGGTCTGGGCCTTAAGCTGCACTGTTGACCATGTGGAATCCCGCTGCATTAACCACCACACCAGGCTGGCCCTTTTTTTTTGCTCTTTTTTAAGTGGGGAATGGGGGGATGAGTCCTGGTCATTAGGTTAACAGCAGCATGTGGATAACATACTTGCCAGGTATTGTGATTGCCTAAGGAAGTTCATTAGCGCACAGAAGAGACCCATGTGTAGTGGGACAGATATTCCTCTTTGTGCATGTGTTGGATCCTCAGGATCATAAGGAATAAAAAAGAAGTCTGAGTCGTGCTCATGAATTGCTTTCAGCCTAATTGGAAAATAGGATTTAACATTTTAATACCATACAATTTAGCATTTGGCTGTAAATGCACTTAGTGTTGGGAGAATAGCGAGACAGGATGGACTGGAGTAAAGAGACAGCTCATTGAACAAGGCCTTGTGGGAACAGAAGGTCCCAATGACACAAACAGAAGAGAGAGAGAAAGTGAGTTTAATTGGGCCTACTCTTAGAGATTTAATGTTTTAAGATAAAATTCTAGATATGAAAGTTATTAAGAGGTTCAGGTTTTCATGAAGGGAATTTCATGGGAGTTTCAGGACAGGAAATTATAGAAAATCATGGTTTGTCTTTTCAGCTGAAAATACTGATCTTCACTTTAGTGTTATTTACCCCTTTTATAATGGCAAGAAGACTTAAGAAAATTAAAATTTAACTTTGTAAGAAGGAAATCATCTGAAGTTACTAATAAAGAGCTTCACATTTAAAAAATGGATACGGGGGCCAGCAGTTGGTGTAACGGCTATGTTGCTGGACTCCCACGTAGTCGACCGTGGTTCGAGTCCCGGGCTGGTGGCTTAAACTCAATGCCAGGCGCGTGTGTGTGCGTGCCCAGGATCCCAAGAGGAGAATGGAGAAGGGATTGCAAGGTGGCCATCCTCCCGGGGGGTGATTTCTCACTTTCTGTTTCTCTGTCTCTGTCTTTCTGGGAAGCGCATGCATCCTATAGCAAAAACCTCTCCAAAAAAAAAAAAAAAAGGAAACGGAAAATTTTACCCTTTAAGTGTTCTTGGTCATTTATTAAAGTTCTCAATTAGTGATCACTTATAAGTAGTTTGTTAATACTGAAACAGCAGCATAGTCCAGTTGCATGTGGCCCAGAGTTACATGAGTTTCCATGAAACAGAGTAACAAACTAAAGACACAGCATCCCCAGCATGTGCTACAGCATCCCCAGCGTGTGCTACGGCATCCCCAGCGTGTGCTAGTGACGTGGTTTTTTTGATTTTTCAAAGCATGATAGGGAGAGAGTAGGTAGGTGGACTATAGCAAATACCCTTCATTGAGTACTTACTGTGAGTCATTGCCATTGTGTTTATCTCCAGAACTAGAGCCTAGAGAATATCATCTGCCCAAGAGCAGACGCTTTGTAGGTGCCAGAACTGAGGTTCCAACTCTAATCTGCCCAACTCTGCAACGCTATCCCACACTTCCTGCTTGGGGAAGACAGTTGCTCCTAGGACAGAGGACGATGAGCGCTTTCTCTAGAAACCCCAAACCTTAGTACATGAGGGATGCTGCAGAGAGGTAACAACTCTGGAATCCTTCACAGAGGCAAATGTAAACAGGTGGACAAGTCAGAAGAAAGATGGGGAGAGGAGCCATGGCCTGCTCAGCATCTCCTGGAGCATAACTGTTTCTTAAGTGTGAGTTGTATCTGCATTTGATGATTCTTAAATCTAAAAATACTGGGTAATGAGCAAGTCACAAGAAAAACCCTTAGATGTTTTAAGAAACTCAAACCTTTGGTCACTTTTTTTGGTGGAGTTCCGTACATTCTTGGTATTGACTTGTCATCAACTCCCCCACTTTCTACATTTCATGAATGATGTATTTTAACTAATAAACTGCTATTTTAGTTAATTTTGTCATAATTCAAATTAGTAAGAACCAGAGCTACAGTCTCTCAGTAGCCAAAATTTCTTTGATTGAATTCTTCAGAATCACTTTGCCCCACCTCATTTCAATATTATATGTACTACAGGGACCAACAGGTGGTGTAGTGGTTAAGGCGCTTGACACTCCCACATGGCCGACCATGGTTTGAGTCCTGGAACTGGTGACTTGCTTTTTTTTTTTCTTTTTGGAGAGGTTTTTGCTATAGGGCACATGCACTCTCCAGACAGAGACAGAGAGACAGAAAGTGAGAAATCCCCGCCCAGGGGGGATGGCCACCCCTCTATCCCTTCTCCTCCATTCTCCTCTTGGGATCTTGGGCACACACGCACGCGCACCTGGCATGAGTTTAAGCCACGGGGTCCAGGACACGAACCGCGGTCGACTACATCCATTACGCTAACTGCTGGTCCCGTGGCTGGCTTCTTTCCTTCCCTCTCTCTCTCCCTCTGGTCAAAATTTGAAAAATGAATGAATAAATAAAATTAAATAATTTTAAAAATATTTTATGTAATACATATCATAACCCATTTTGGAAGTTCTCCTAAGTAGAAGCTTATCACTTCTCTGGAGTGCACTTTGTTCTGATTTCAAAGCCAAATGAAAATGAGAGATTCTGTTTGAGGGAAGCCCAGGAAGTAAGAGAGATTGAGATTACTGTGGGCTTCAGAAAAACAGGATCAAAATCGTAGGTCAACATGGAGATGGTTCAAACACCAGCTCAACAGCAACTTCTTTTTTTTTTTTTTTAATGAATATTTTATTTCCCAGTTGCCTGTTAATCGATGTGTACATGATTCTTCAGGAGTACCTTTCAGGAAGGAGAAAATATAAATGGAAAAACTTGAGAACCGAAGTCTATCTTGATATCCAAATAGTAAGCATAACTAAATGACAACTTCAGGAAATAGTGAGTCTTTGGAAAAGTCATGACTTATTTTTACATAGAAAAATATATTGGGACCAGCAGTTGGCGTAATGGCTATATCACTGGACTCCCATGTAGTCGACTGTGGTTCGAGTCCCAGACCCGGTAGCTTAAACTCATGCTGGGTGCATATGCATGCGTTTCCAAGATTCCAAGAAGAGAATGGAAGAGAAGGGATTGCGGCGTGGCCATCCCCCAGGGAGTGATTTCATATATCGTGACTTTTCTGAAACCCCCAATACTTGGAATTAACATGACACAGGAGGGGCCAGCAGGTGTGTGGTCTTTAAGACACTGGACTCCCACGTGGGTGACCATGGTTCAAGTCCTGAACCTAGTAACTTGCTTTCTCACTTACTCCCTGTCTCTTTCTGGTGTGCACATGTGCCCTATAGCAAATTAAAATAATACTAAATAAAATTTAACATTTTTAAGAAAATTATGTGAAATTATATAAAATACTTAGATATAACAAAAGCAAAACCCATAATCATTCCAAGAACAACTAATGAAGATAAATTAAAAACAGTCAAATTCACATAAAATGTTCCCTACTTTCACAATGGAATAGAACAAGTTCAAATATTCTATAAAGTTGGATTAATATTCTTCTCTATCATTCAACAGCACCTTCTAACTTGCTTTCCCTTCCTTGTTTTTAGTTGCCCTGTGTCCTTCCCTTTCTTTAGTTCTTTCATCTGTTTCCTGTTTCTCTCCCTTCAGACCATGCTTCTACTGCCCGCTTTCCCTCTTTCCTCTCTCTAGTTCTCCTGCCTCATTTTTCCAGTTAATTCATCAGGC